GAGGCCTCACATTCTACTTTTGGTTGATGTTAAGGTTGATCCATAAGCCTATGAACTCATAACCTGTAAAATTTGGGAGAAGTTATTTACACCTCCATGAGCCTTGGTTTTCCCAGCTGTATGGAGGAAAGTGCTTCCAGATTTTCACCAGATATCAGGTTTTAATAATGACAATCCTTTTATCCATTAGGAGAAATTTTCCTTCAAAATCATTCTCCCTCAAAATCATTTTCCTTTCTTGGGTATCATTAATTGAGAAAATGCTAATGTTCCTTTTATCAGACTAAGCTTCTGGTACATTTCTGAAGATTGGAAACCACCAGCATTATAGCCAGCAGAAAGTAAGGAGTGATTAAGTCCTCTGAGGTACTGAGCCATGTGCTGAGGGCAAGATGAGCAGTGCCCCTCTCTGTGACAGGGTTTGTTTAGCAGCCTGGCTGGGGAAGTCTAAAAGTCCTCATCTCCTAGATCAGAGGCACAAGAGGAGCTCTGAAGGGGAGGAAAGAGATATTGAAACTTTTATGGGATGGTTGCCTTCATCAAAAGAGTCCCCTATGTCCCAGCCCCTCAGACAAGCATTGTGTCACATTCTTTTGTGAGAACTGGCTGAAAGAAGAATCTTTTAAAAGGCTTCTACTTATTGATTTTCAGGAACAGATTTCTATTTAAATTTTAACAGTTCTCAGCAAGCTTGCAATTCTGAAGCTTGTGAACAGGCAAGTCCCTCCCAAAGCACTTTTTTTCTTTGGTACAAATCAGAGTGCCCATGAGATGGATCGGGTTCATTTGTATTAGTTTTCAGTTTAATCTCTCTTCCTGCCAGATCTTTTATCTTCTAGTAGGTAAGAAAAAGAATAAATAAAGAATTCTATAGATGCAACCAGAGGACTGAGCAGAGCCTGAAACACAGAGATTAATAGGCCCCGTTGTCAAATCAAACTGGGCAACAGACCTGCAGCTTGGGTTATGGGCTTTCAAGAGCTCTTTCCACTCTGAATGAACAAATGGCTGAGGGTCACAAAGGGCAGAGGCTGGTAGGGTGGCACTAAGGACAGGAAAAGCAGTGTCTTAATGTGACTTTGTGTTGCTATAGCAAAGTGTCTGTGGCTAGATAATCTATACAGAGGTTTGCTTGGCTCCTGTTTCTATTGGTTGGAAAAATTCAAGTAGCTTGATGTGGCATCTGACGTCACAACATGGCAGGGAAGGAGGAGGGTACAGGTAGCAAGACCAAGGGGAGGTGCCAGTTCCCTTTGTAGTCACCTACTCTTGAGGTAACCAATCCAGTCCTGCAAGGGTAGAACTCTCCGGCATGGAAAGCGGTGATCTCTCTTAAAAGCCCCCAGTCCTCTCAAAGACACCGTCTCCCGATACCGCCTGCCAGCCTCCACGTGGGAGCTGGTGGGGACACCAGAGCAGGCAGTCTCTTGAGGCTCTCCCCGCCCCCACTCATGGCCTGGTAAATCCTTAGTCAGCTGATCATGACGACTGTCCTTTTGACTTTGTCCCTTCCTGCACCGACTGTCGCTCACTGACCAGGTGACTCTTTCCTTCCAGATCCTGAAAGAAGAGGGGTGAAAGATAAGTTTTATTGAGTACTGCATTGTTCCAGGCTTCTGCAGAAGACAGACAGCACTCTTGAAAGAGAATGATAAAGGGGGGGGGGGTTGGAGAGCATTTACAAAGCTATGGGTGGGGGAACCACAGTGACCTGGGGCTGAGGACCTCAGAGCTGGCTTGACCCTTGGGACATAGAGACCAGGGGAATCGCAGCACTCCAAGAGATTGTGTAGAGCTGCCACCTTGAGAAGCACAGGACACATGGTTGGAAGACATGGCAAGTCCAAGGCACCCTCTCAGGGGTCAGGGCAGAGCCCTGTGCCTACCCTCCTCTTGGTCTTCCGGGGGAGGCCAACACATAAATCTCCACCCTACCAGGCCATTTGCCTGCAGGCAAGGGCTCTCAGTATTGATGCAGGGCATTGTGGGAGTTCTGTGGCATTCTCTCCATTTTTCTCAGCTATTTTAGGTTTTAATTCATGGTAAAATACACACAACAAAATTTACCACTTCAGCCATTTCTAAGAGTCAAGGAGAGTCATGTTATTATGTCATCATTACCAATGTCCATCTTCAGTACTCTTTTTGTGTAGTAAAAGTTAAATTCCACACCCATTTCATAGCATTTTTCCGTCACTGGAACACAGTACTTGATACAACTTAAAAGAGAAGTTTAGTGTAGCTCACAGTTTCAGCCCGTGATTGGCTGGCTGACTCCAGTGCAGAAACAGGATGGCAGAGGGGCACAGTGGACAAAAGCTACTCACCTCATGGCAGCCAGAGAAGGAAAGTGCTGGGGAAGAAACTATGCCCTTCTGGGTCACACTTGCCTCTCCAGGCCCCTCCTCCCTTCAGGGTACTCATGACAGATTCATCAGTGGATTCATTAGTAGTGCCTCATGATCCAGTTGCCTTCCAAAAGCCCCACTTGTGAGCATTGAGCCTTTTGAGGACATTTTAGATCTAAGCCATGATAACCCATGAACCAGTAACTCCCTATTTCTCCCTTCCCTCAACCCCTTCTGCTATCTATGAATTGGAGCGGTCACATAGTGCTTCTGCTTTTGTGACTACTTATCTCACTTAGCATATGTCCATAAGGTTCATTTGTGCTGTAGCATGTGTCAGAATTCCCTTCTTTTTTAAAGCTGAAGAATACTCCCCTCCATGGATGTACACATTTCATTTATCCATTCATCCATCAGCAAAAGACACTGAGTGGCTTCTTCCTTTTGGCTGGTGTGGATAATGCTGCTGTGAATCTGGATGTGCAAATGTCTCTTTAAAACCCTGCTTTTAGTTCTTTGGGGCATATATTCAGAAGTAGAATGGCTAAATGATGTGGTAATTCTATTTCTAACTTTTTGAAGAACCACCATACCATTTTCTTTTTTTCCCTACTAAATAATTCTCTTTATTTACAGATTAAATGTAGGAAACATAGTATCCGATATGAATATGTATTTTATCACCATACCATCTTCCATAATGGCTGCACCATTTTACATTCCCGTCAATGGTGTACAAATCCTCATCAGCACCTGTTATTTTCTAGTTTTTTTGATAATAACCATACTAATGAGTTGATACAGTATGTCATTGTGGTTCTGACTTGTCCCCAATTTTTACAGAAGTTCAAACAAAATCAAACTCTAAGTGGAAAAGCTTATAGCTAATTGCATCATTACCAACATGAAGTCTGTGTTTTTCTTGCCATCCACCAGTTGTCTTTGGAATGACTGTTTCCATAGAAAAGCACCTTGGCAAGGGAGGCCCTGCTCCGTCAGCCATATGGTGTTAGGGAAGGCTCTATTGCCCTCTGTGGTGACAAGTAGCCCTCACCTGTAAGGGAGCCCGCATGGAAAACCAGGTTGCTATGAGCTGCTCAATGTGGAGAGAAAGCTGTCAGACTCCAGCCTGAAGAGAAGTGGGTGGGTCTTTCAATAACTAACTGGAGGTGCACACAGTGTGTTTTTAAAAGAAGCATAAAGAAAGGGGATCCTCATCAACTGTGAATACCCATGTCCCTGGAAAGCCAGAGCCAAGAACACAGAATTGCCCAGCTGGTGGTGAAGACTGCATTCCCAGAAAGCCAATTTTGGAAGCAGCTTTATTTGAAATAATTAAAAAGATTCAGTCTTTGTAGTCCAACTGGCATCATACTTCAGCACAGTTTAACTTGTGTTAAAGAATCATTCAAGTTAACAAATTCTGGATTAATGATAGACATCTCTGTGTGAGAGTCAACAGAAGTTGCCTTTGGGGGTCTTGTTTTCATTTTGGAGCAACTTGTGGCACTTTCTGGTGACTATGGGGAGCCAAGTGCTGGGTATGTTTTAATGGGCTCCAGGCACACACTGCCACACCATAGGCCACCCCACCAGGTGAGTCCCACAGACAGGTCTTCGGGAGCTGTACATGGCTGTGAGTCCATGTGTGGTGGTGACATGCCACTGGCATTGTCTGCAGTTTGAGCAGAGGCCAGGACCCCAGCAGGAAGTCGTGCGCTAGCTCTCTTGGACCATCTCCAACCTGGGTGAAAGGAATCAGCACCACTTGAGAGAAGTGAGCAAGATAGGTGGATTTCCAGCCAAGTCTCTCACCCTGCATCTCACTTTACTCTGCCCTTGGAAATGTAGTCCAGCATCACTGCACACAGAGTGGGAGCCAACAGCGGGTGCTCAAAGTCATGCCAGATTGCGTGGGATCCAGGGCATTGCTCTGAAAAACGTCTGGGCCAAGAAGCCTGTTTAAACTCTGCAAAGGCGTCAGGTCCCACAGAATCTCCAGAAGCCCGCCTTGAAGCAACAGCCCATTTGGCTGACAGAGTCGCTCCTCCACACCTGTCAGAAAGTGGGAGAAAGATATTCCAGACTCGCTGTAAATCCCATCCTGCCTCTCCAGCCAGAGCCACTCAGGGTCGTGGTGGTAACAGGCTGCCACACTGCAGATGGGCCACAAAACGCACAGCCCATCTGTCTTTATCATGCTCATTTCCTTTTTTATTAAAATGTTAATGAATATAGTTTTTATTTATCATTCAGTGACATGTGCAGCATCCTTTTCTGGGAGACAAATCTGCAATCTGCCTAACCATGTGAGCCAACAGAACTTTTTCCCCGTTACATACTACACCCGGGATTTAGGAATTTTTGGAATTTTTAAATACCATATGCAGGTTGAACCCAAAATCCCTTTAGGGATATCTCCATAGGGATAATAGAGGTGTGCTAGATTTGAGGTGAGAAATCAGAGTTCACCGGCTACTGGGCACATGACTTCAGCCTCAGTCTTCACATCTGTCAAATGGGGATAGCCATTCTCTCTCCTAGCACTATCTTGGAAAGCAGAGGAGATAGTCTACGGGAAGGGATTTATATTCATTTATCATTGAGATGCATGGTTATGTGGTTTTGAACCTGATTTGCTTATTCCTTTAGACTCTCCCTGGAAGGTGCACCTGTCAGATGTTGGCCCCGAAATGACAGACATCACTGTGAGCGGCCTGACTCCAGCCCGCACCTATCAGTTTCGGGTGTGTGCGGTGAACCAAGTGGGAAAGGGCCAGTACAGTGCAGAGACAAGCAGGTGAGTGGAGCCCAGACCTCTGAGTCAAACATATGTGCTACATTGGACAGAGGCAGTTCATTGATAATTCCTTAGGGTCACTGGCAAAAACGCCAGCAGAAAAGAGTGTCCCAGAGAGGGCAAACAGCCCTTAGTGCAGGTGAGGAAAACAAACTGGGTTTCCCTTACCGGCCTAGAGGCGAGTATCAGGTTTCTCCTGTGGTGCTCTGGCTGTGCCTGTACAGACTGCTCCAGGTGCCACAGCCTTCTGTATTCAGGCAAGTAGGAGCTTACACAGACCCCAGGAGCTGCTCTGGCGGGGAGCATCTAGTTTTAGGGAGCTGTCTCCAGTAGTCTGAGCTCTGGATGGCCTGATTGGTACAGTAGTTGAGATTTAAATAACTTTTCAAAATGTGGGAATTTAAGATGAAAAATAATGAAAAAGCCAAAGAAGGAGCCTCAACTCCTGGACAAAAGCAGCTCACTCAACTGGTCATCTTTCCTGGTTCTGGGAACCCAGGGTTCTTCAGACAGACAGGCACCTCTGGCGTCATCCCCAGCCCCACCTTTCTGGTTTGCTCCTCTGGGCAAGTGTAATTGCTGTCACATCCCTTGGTGAGTTCAGCCACGCATTCTTGGCCCCTATTTTTGCTAGTAGTGAGGATCTGGGTGCAGTGTGGTGGAAAATGCTGTCGTAGTCCTTGGTGTCTAGTGCTTATCTCTTTCTCTCTTCCTCTTCCCTCATTTGTAGGTTGATGTTACCCGAAGAACCACCCAGTGCTCCCCCGAAAAACATCGTGGCCAGTGGGCGCACCAACCAGTCCATCATGGTACAGTGGCAGCCTCCCCCAGAAACAGAGCACAACGGGGTGCTGCGTGGGTACATCCTCAGGCAAGTAGCCTGTGCTGGCATTCTAGACGGTCATTAGGAAGAGTTGGTTATCCAACTCATTCAGTGTCTGTCTGAGCCAGTCGGTAACGTGAGGACACAGGTCAGGCGCCAGACTTTGCAGGGTGGAGGAACTGTGGCAAACTGGAGAGCACGAGTGAATGTGACACTTCACGTGTCCACCCATGAAGTCCTTACACGGGCCCAGTGGTTGTGTTTTGGAAGGAACATTATGGGCGAGGAAGCAAGGCATGCTATTCAGTGTAAACCCTTTCATTCCTTGTTTACCAGATGCATGCATTTAATCATTTATAATACTACTTTTGAGCCAGTTGTTACCATGCTAGCATGCTGCTCACTTTTGTCAGATCTAGCATTTCAAGGAAATCAAAACATCTAGCCTTTTTCTTATAGTCTCACTACATTTAGGTCTTGGAAATGAAACTGATGTATTTTGAGATATAGCACAGGCCAGATGCTCATCTGGCTGAAGGGTGGTCAGTTTGCTGTCTCTGCCTCAGAAGGGATGGGTAGGCTTCTAAAAATATTGAGAGAACCGTGTGAGAACTTGGCCATGTTCAGCAGAAGAAATCTCCTTTGCCAAAACTCCTGCTAATATAAAAATCGCAGGAATGTGGTAATTGCAGTGGTTTGTTAATACAGTAAAAAGAAAAAACTAACGTAGTATTAAAGAATAATTATTAAATCTCCTCTGATTATGACACCGCTGTGGATGTATTTGTTAATTTTATCAGCCTTATTAGGGCAAGAACTATTGGTCTCTACTATTCCTTTCCTCCAAATGCATACCCTGGCCTCACGCTGAGCTTGAGATCAGTAAATACTGTACTTAGTTAACAAAGGTCTTAAGTAGGCACATTTGGTTTCTTTGGTAAAGGTAAGAAATCATGAAAGTGCTGTTCTTTAACTCCATTATCTTTTATTTGAAGGACCCCCAGTTCCCAATATGCATGTATACAATCACCCATACCTCAGTGAATGGTGTTCATCTCTGTGTGTGTAGTATTTTGTGTCACCATCGATTTGCTGCTACTTTCATGTGCACCTCAGGTCTGTGAAAACACTCCAGACCGCTGTCTGCTGAGGTGACAGAAGTGGCCCATCCTGAGGATGCAGGAAAGGCTTGTGTTGCCTTACATGGCCCCTGTTGTCTGTGCCCCCGGCTGTCCTTTTGCATGTAAAGAAGGTCAGAGAAGTTGAGGGTCTTTCCTGCGGGCAGGGCCATGGGCTCTGCTCCTGCTGATGCTTCTGGATAGACCTTTGTCTCCTGACCACCCTTCACTGCCTTTCTACTGCTTTGTGGCTGAGGCTCCTGTCCTTTCCTGCCTCGTGCCCCCGCTCTAGCCGTCACCCCTCATTCATGCCCATCCACTAATGAGACTAATTGGCTGGCCCTCCCTGGCAGCCTCTCCCTCGCAGGGCCTCTTACAGCCCCTGGGTCTCCCAGCTTGTGGAGGGAAAGTTTGCTCAGGCTGCAGCTGTCAAGAAAGGGCTTTAAAAGTCATTCCACAGAACCAGGCCCGGGGCGCAGAGTTAATAATAACATCTCTCTGATGCTATGCGGTCACTTCAGGGACTGCCCATTTCTCTATTTTGTGGGATTACTACTGTTAAAAGGATTTTCTGTGGTGGTGTCAGTAGAGTCGAGTGCCAGAGAAGAGGACATCTGTATTTCTTGGGGCTTAAATCAAGAAAGCCCTAAAATGGGGCTACAGTACCCAAGGCCTGTGAATATCAAAGTTTTCAGAAATTAAAGACCTATGCCAAAATGAATTCGCTTGGAAACATCTCCAAATAATCCTCTGGTCTGCAAATCAGCACTCCATTTACAAGCATGCACCCTGGAGGGCACAGTCTCTCTGTCAGAACCTAGGCCCAGTACACAAAGAACAAATGGAAATAAATCACCTCCATGGCTGTGGCCATAAGAATTGTTAGGCTGTGTGAGCAATAATAAAATATTTATAATAATGGACAGGGTGTTTCTCTGAGAGGAGCAGAGGGTTATGTCCTTTAAAAACATTCTCCTGTTTATTTCTGTATAAAAAATCGTCTTGTTCTGGCTGAGCCCGTCTCCTGAGCAACATAGCTTACCAGTGAGAGGAGGATGCCCTCACTACCCTTATTAACTGTGACCTTCTTAGACATCATGTGACAGTGGCATCCTGAGCCACTGGTTAGAGTGGGCCAACCTGCCTGTCCTGGCGGGGAGCATAGATGACTTTGAAGAATTAAGTTCTGCAATTCATTTTCACTGTCTTAGAGTGGCACAGGAAAATGTAGTTGGCTTATGCAGGCCTCCTCCTCCTCCTCAAGTCTATCTTCCTTCCTTCCTTCCTTCCTTCCTTCCTTCTTCTTCCTTTGCAGACAGGACCCAGGGCCTTTGCACTGAGCTACATCCCTAGACTTTTATTTTTTATTTTGAGACAGGATATTGACAAGTTAAGTTGCCTAGGCTGGGCTCAAATTTGTGATCCTCCTGCCTCAGCCTACCAGAGTGGTGGGATTACAGGTGTGCACCACAGGTTTCCTGTCTTATAACTCATCTCTCCCATGCTTTAGTAGAAGAGCCATATTTAAAACAAAATGAGGGGTGCGCTACACTTCCACACCTCTTTCACATCCATTGTTTCATTCATTCTTGCAACAGCTGGGCAAAATGCTATTACTCTAATTCCCATTTTAGAGCAGTGGAAACAAACCTTAGAGAAGTTTGGAATTTGCCTGAGGTCACCCAGCTCATAGTGGTTAAACCCGGGCTCAACCTCAATCTTAACCTTTCCATGCTAATTCCCCTTTTTCCTGGAAGGCAAATTGTCTAGAGATGGGTCTGCAGGAGTAAGCCCTTCCTATGGGGTCTTGCTCACTGTATCACATTGGCTGTAGGTCAGTGATGGCGAACCTTTTCAAGCTTTCAGTGATACAAACAGCACGCTTTGGCATGTGTGCCATAGGTTCACCACCACTGCTATCAGTGGTTCTTGGTATCGTCTACGTGCCTGGGCTACTCTGTTGTGGATGGAGAGCCAACTTTTTACTTTTTCCTAAATGGGTAATTGCCTTCAGTGCCATTTACATTTAAAGTTAATCTTTTGTAGGGGATTCAAATGGAAGTACCCATCATATGGGTTAATCCATGCCAGGCCCGAGTGGCAGCCACTTCCTCCTTTCAGGCAAGAGGCAGAGGGAAGCCTTGGACCTGCTTGCATTCAAGTGCTTTCTGCTCTTGATCATCTGTATTGCCCCCCAAACCAGCCTCACCAAGTACAAAGCATCCGTAGCAAGAGGGGATGAAAGAACGCTGCCAGAAAATCCTGATTTTCTTGCAGAAACTTTTATTGCCCTCTCTCTGCATCCTTATTACATGTTCAGCTGTCATTCTCTTTAGAAAATTGTTTTACATAGGAGGGACTGAACGTCTGAGTTCTCTGATTTTTTTTTCCAATAGTGGTGGCCTTACAGACACACCTGCCCACACTCACCTTTCTCAGGTGTGTTCCTTCATGCAGAATGCCCTGCCCTGGGGGACAGGCACCACCATGGAGGAAGCTGGGAATTCCAGCAGGCCATGACAAGAGAATGGATTTATTGCTGCTACTCTGGTTTTGGATCGCTCATCAATCATTTCCCCTTTCCATTTATCAAACAAAGCCACATTCTTTGAGCAGTTTATGAACCACTTTTGGGATAAAAATTAGATGTTTTTGAAAGCTGCAGGATGACTAGAAAATCACCCCTATTGCGCATATCTTTCATCTTACCCTGGGGACTGATCCAGAAAAGCTCAGCAAATTAACTGAGTCAGTTCAGTACATTAACTTCTATAAACTGAACCACAGAAGAATATTTGCTAATCAAAATAATGTTCTCAAAGGCCTTTCATAGTACAAAAAACAATTTTCTAATTTATATATTTTCTGAGTGTGGAGTTGCATAAGTCACCTTTCTAATAAACATAACTTTAAATTTCTGACTTTGGTAAACTAAAGATTATAGTACCCAGGCACTCACAAAAGCCCCTAAAAAGCAATGTGTCATATTAATAAGGGATTTGCATAAAAGAATGTTAACACCTTCTCAAAGCCACTTCTTTTAGTTGTGGGATACACTTGGAGGGACCAGAACTCCTAAATGGAAACCGAACCACAGTGCAGCCCACAAAGGACAAGAAGCCACATGCATTCTGCTTCTTGATTCTTCCCCACATTGCAGTCACAAGACGATAGTGTATCTCAAGCCCTGATGGAAATCATGTTTAGAATTTGGGGTAGTCAGTCACTGTACACTCCAAGCAAGTTACCTTTAAAAAGCTATCATTTTTTCATAACCATAATATGTTGAAATAGCTGCTGCATTATGCCTAGAGCTTATAATCGCTTTGAGAGAAGAGTGTACCTTTTAAAATAGTTAAATTAATGAGTGGTGTTGTCTGACCTCTCAGCTCTGCGTGTGTCTGTTTACTTCCATTTTCCTCTAACTGTGTGGAATGGCCACCATGAACTTGAGGTGTTTCTTTGCTGTCATGGGCTTCTTTCTGGTGCAGGTACCGCCTAGCGGGCCTGCCCAGCGAGCATCAGCAGAGGAACATCACCAGCCCAGAAGTGAACTACTGCCTGGTGACAGACCTGATCATCTGGACACAGTACGAAATCCAGGTGGCTGCATACAATGGGGCTGGCCTGGGTGTCTTCAGCAGGGCTGTGGCCGAGTACACCTTACAAGGAGGTAAGCTCACTTTCCAGAACCACCAGGCTCCGGAGTCTGGATCAGAGAGCGGGATTTGTGAAGTCTGACTGAAGTATGTTGCAATAGAATTAGAGGATCCAGTCTCCTGGGAAGTGTTTAGAAGAATACTATATCTTCACTTACTACTAAACAAGCAGTGTGGTAGGGAGGAAGCAAATAATGTCCCAGATGCATTTTTCTAGGTGCTAAAAACAGGAAGTATCTACATACGCTTTACTAGCACACCTATTCTTGAAAGAGCTGTGAAAGTGAACTTTTCGAAGTGGAAATAAGTGTTTTGCGATAAAGCTGGCTGTGGAATTCTGTGTGATTCTGTGAATGTCTTTCAAAGAGAATGATTATGGTTTTGTTTTTAGTGATGGAATATGAATATTGGTAATGGAATTTGCAACTCTGTGGCTTTTTTATTTTTTGTTTTTTGGTGTCTTTTTCTTTTTCAGTCACACAAGCAGCAATTTACTAGATCAATGCAAAGCTTCCCTACCCCCTGAAAAAAAACGACCAGACAGAATGTCATAAAGCCACTGGGTCTTAAATATATGTGCTAAGACTCAGCCATGTTGTTTTAGGCCTTTCTACAGCACCTAAACTCCCCTTCCCCCACTTTGTGGAGGATTTGGGTCTCGGCCCTGGCAAGAGTTGGTTGGCTGGGACCCTTTCTCTACACCGGCGTTTCATCATTATAGTTTTGAGCAGTAGTAAACAGACCCTCTCTTGACATACTGCATTTGTCCTACAGCAGTCTACATCCTTTCCCAGGAAAGTAATGTATCCACAAAATCTAAAATCCTTTCTCCATTCAGCGATTTACACTTTCTCCTATTCACAGGTGTGATTTTATTTGCTTAGGCATTCTTATGGCTGCTAGGCCTTGACCTTCTTCAAATGATAAGGTTTCTAACTGCCCACTTCCCTCCCCAAATCATGCCTGAGACCTAATGTTCCTTGATATTACATGCTGTTATTATCATCCCTTATTGATTGGCTGTCTGTTGTCATTCCCAAGTCCATAAATCCTCCTTTATAAATTAAGTGCAGTCAATTCCACCGGCACAGTGCCTAGCAGAAATATTAAAATGCAGGGCAGCTAGGAAGGACCTGTCCATCTGCAGATAATTCTGGATTACTTGTTTGAAGAGGAAAATAACTGAAAACCTGGACAATGAATGTTTGCTTTAATTAGTCTGTTTAATAAAATAACAATAAACTTGGAAACCATTAAGATGACTAATGCTGCTATTAATAATCTACTATTACTATTAACTGTGACTGCCTTGTTTTATTACTGGTGCATTTGAGTTCTGCATAAAGCACAAGAAAGAAAGCAGATCTCAGCCTGATTGAGAGGGGCTTTAGGCTTCAGACTTTGGCTTTTATGCAGCTGGCATTGGGGAGCCGTTAAGGGCTTAAGAGCTATGAGTGATATGATCAGAATGCTGTATCTGAAGATGGCCCTGTCCCTGGAGTGAGGTGAGATGGAAGCAGAATGGAGGCAGCAACTCCAGAGACGTCGGAGGAGTAACCTGACCACACAGTGGTCGGAGCCACCACCCCACCCTGCCCTGACCGCTGCCCCTGAAGATAGGTCAGGATGTCCTGGGGTGGTATGTTGTCCTTTCAAAACAGTTCCCATGGATCACCTCAGCTGTGGCCTTTGCAGTTCTCTGAAGGAATGCTGCTGAACTTCACAGCCTTATCCGGTGCTTCCTGCACAGGAGGGCTGGCTGTAAAAAGAGGTTGGCTGCCCAGACCCTTCCTCCAGTTGTCTGCAGTTTATAGGACAGGACAGGGCATGTTGTATCTCCAGTCTTTAGTGCATAAACAACTTTGTTGGTTAACTTCAACTTGGTGTGAATCACATGGGCCAACACATAGCAGAACCAGCTCTAACATCCAGTCCTTGGGGTGAAAACACTGTCCTCTGAGTGACAGCAGCTCCAACATCAGCAGGACTCTCTTATGGCATGATTGGGAATGGTCTGCAGGGCCAGGGCAAGGGTCCTCAGAGTGGTGAAGTCATGAGTATCTTTGGCTCTCTGAAAGACTTTCCTCATGGGTGAAGACAAAATTTCTGTTCCATTTTTGTCCAACTCCAGTTCTTCCTCTGCTTTTTGCTAACTACTCAGAGCTAATGTTGGTGGCCCAGGCCACACATGCAGTTTCCCATCTACATCCCTTCTGGAGTCTGGAAGTCTTTCCTTCACCTTGGTTTTTGATTCCAAATGTTGGCACATGATGCCCAGAGTCCTACAGGTTTCAAGGACACCCCAGTGGGCCTGGCTTATTTTGTGCCTTCACTCACCATGGAGCATTTCTATTCTGAATCTCTCTCAGACTTCTCCATGTGTACACAGCTTCCCTGTACACATAGTGATATTCTTTGTCCCTCCCCCAACCCTCTGTGAAGACTTCTTTGGGTGGGTTCAAGGAACACAGCTGAGCCTGTCTTTTTTCCAGAAACTCTGCCTTTTCCTCTGCATCTTTCTGATTTCATTGTGCTCTGCAGGATTGTAAATGCCCCCAAAATGTCTCTTGAGTTTGCTGAGGTTCAGTCAGTCATTTCATACTCTTCCTGAGCCACAGAAGAGAATTTCTTAGGCTGTGACAGCTTCTGAGATGTCTGCAGAAAGTACCTGTCCACCCGGACCAGCTGGTTCAAGGGAAGGACTGAGCCCCAGGACAAATCAGGGGTGATCAAAATTTACTCATCATAGCCTGGGGACATAATGTTTTGGATTTGGCTGTGACACTGACCCCAAAGGGTCTTCACTGGCTCCAGGAGGGGCCCGTGGCTAGGGGAGCTATATTAGTTAGTTTCTCTATCACTGGGACACATATCCAATACCAACAATTTAAAGGAAGAGAGTTTTATTTGGCTTACAGTTTCAGTGGGTTTGGTCCATGGTTTTCTGGTTCCAGAGCAAAAACAGCATGGTGGAGGACAGCTGTTCATAACACTGCCAAAGAGCAGAGAGAGAGAGGGGAGGAGACACCCTCCAATCCATGACTAGAGTGATATTTTTCTTCTAGCCAGGCCCCCACCTCTGAATGTGAGACTTTTGGGGGCCATTTTAAATCTAAACTATAATAGGAGCCCAGCTAGACCCATCCCTAGAGGCTTCAGGCTGCAGCCATACTGTGCCGTTCCTCCTGCTTTCCATGGTCCCCCAGTTGCCATACCACAGCGAAACAAAATTAAGCATCCTGTGAATCCTGTCCTTGATCCCACATTCCCATCCAAGACAGGATGGAAACAGGAGGATGTGAGATCACTGGAGGGAAGAGTGGAGAGAGACCAGGAGAACTGGCCAATGCCAGAGATGACTTAGTGACCAGGACAGGAAGTGTTAGGACTATGTGAGACATCAGGACAAGTGCCAGCAGAAAGGAGCACAAATGCCTGAGGGAGGCATGGTACAGACTGGGGTGCATGAGATAAGAGCACACCTGAGTCCACCACATCTCTCTACAGGCCTGACTCCTGAATGCCACCACCATGTACCTTCCGGGTGCACATTTCACTTCCTAGGCCTCCACATTCCCGTCTGTGAAATTGTGTATATCCCTGCCCTGCTATAAGGGTGACTATGAAAAGGAAAGGAAGAGGAACACGCTTTGAAAACTTGAGACATACAAAGACACCAGTGGTAATGCTGCTATCCTCTATTTTTCTACTATGCTAACAACTGGCATCTTTTGTTGTGTTTGAAAGCTTCTACATTAGTGGTCTTACAGACAGATTGGGGTCATTCCCTCTGCTAATATTAAAATCAGACACAAATATTCAAGAGCTGTCGTAGCACCTACTGTGTGCTGAGAGCTGTGGGCCAGGCCTTGTCATGGATGTAGAGGAGACACCCAGCCTCCTGTCAGCTTTGGGCATCCAGGGCAGCCCTGCAGGTGACACAGAGCACTGGACACTGAGACCAGGTGAGAACTAGCAAAGAAATCAGCCTTACTTGTGTGGTTGCTCCTTGTTCACCCACAGGCAAGTGGCACCAAACCTGCTCAGAAGGTCCCCTGTCAGGACACTCAGAATAGCTGTAGACATGAAAGCTACCACTAAAGAGGGGCTTATTGGGGTCACAGGGGTGGGGCCACGGAAAGGAGTAAATTTACAGCTGTCCACGTTAGTGAGAGAGGGCATCCGGCTGCTAGAAACAGACTCCACATGATGCTAGCTTCAAACAAAGACAGGTTTTTATTTTTCTCACGTCATAAGAGCAGGTAGTGGGGGGTGAGTGGAGGGTTGTAAAAGCAGCTCCTGGGTCATCAGAGAATCTCCTGTCTTCCCGCCTTGCCATCTTTAGCATTTGCCTCATGGTCACAGGGTGACTATCGCAGCTCTCACATACACGTTCTAGAAGCCAAGATGGAGCGGGGAACAGGGGTGTACCTCGTGGCCTTTAAAGATCTTTCCTAGAAGCTCTGTGACTTCTGTTTATAATCCACAGAAGTATTTGTGCAGGATAAGCTGGAAATGTGGTCTTTCCACTAAGTGTGTTTCTGTCTGTTGCCCAGGGAGGAGAATGGAGGTGCAGCTAGCAGTTCCTGCCTCACTTTCTAGGATGGCCTGCTGCACATTTAAGTCAGGAGTCTCGTACACAGTTTCTAGGTATGAAACCGTACCACCTCTGGCTCTCAGCTTCCTAGGAGGAAGCAAGTGCCTGAGGGCACCTCCCGATCCTCTGTGTAGGAATTAGCAGGGTTCAGACTTACAGCCCCTCCAGGCCATGATCCATCCACTTCTCCAGAGGGCCCTCAGGCTTGGCCCCAAGCCCAGTGTGCTGTTTGGCAGCAGCTGAGCAGCATTTCCCTGCTGCTGGGAACCAGCTTTGTGTCCTTGGAGTATCCCATGTCTGTGACCACTGAAAGTGGGGACAGCCCGGAGGCTAGCACGTCCTTCAGGCTGAAGGAATAATTGGAATGCCTGCATATAGGGAGAAAAGAATAATTCTTAAAATTAACTACTTGTCAGT